TATATATATATACAGCATTATATATTTAATGTTTTCACTCAAGATTCACAAAACTTAATAAAAAATTTAATTTGAAAAATCTTGGGGGAAAGTTGTGTAACTCTTGGGTATAAACACTGATAAACAGATCCCTACAGTGAGATTCTATTCCATTCCCAATAATCATATTGATCTAGAAGTTACGTATTGAAGATGGCCAGAAACTGACAGGAATATGGAGGCTGTATATCTTGGTGACCTCATTCTGGAAATGCTAGTTGCCTGGCAGTCTTTGCCTTTAATATTTCCAGAGATACTTACCTAGAGCAAGCCTGTAGATCAGGAGATTGAAGAGAACACTGCATATCTATGATTTAGGCAGCCGAGTGAATAACCGAGCTGAAATGAAGTGAGCCGAACGCTGTTCAGCTATTCACTTCAGCCCTGTACGGCTGATTCCAGCCGCAGATCGGCTAAAATCAGCCCTAAATCGCCTGGCTTCGGCTCCCTTCATTCAGCCGAACATGCTCAGCATGCGCCGCATGTTCGGCTGAGCCGAAGTGAACAACATAGCTGTTCACTCACTGCCGTTCGGCCCCTATGAGAATAGGGGCAAACAGCAGCGAGTAAACTGCTGGAAGTTGAGCTCAGCCAGTCCAGATGTTGGATCGGCTGAGCCGAACCTCCGGCAGTTCACTGGCTGCCGTTCACCCCTATTCTCATAGGTGCTGAACAGCAGTGAGTGAATAGTCGAATTATGTCACGGCCGCCTCTGCCGTTCGAGGACAGTGGCCTGTTGCGTGAATGAGTGCCATTGTGTGTGCTCTGGTGCGGGTTCATGCAGCGCCAAAGTGTGAGTGGAGCTTGACGGTATATATGAATCTTCTCAATAAAAGGAAAGCCCACCTTTGTTCCAACGTGAATATTGGCTTCTTTGTTGAGCAGAAGTGTCACCATGTCAGCATGCCCTTCCTGGGCTGCGAGGTGGAGGGGGGTCACTCCTTGTTTGGTTAGAATGTTGGTTTCTGCCCCATAGTTGAGTAGTGTAGTAGCGATCTGCATCTGTTTCTTTTTAGCGGCAATATGCAGAGGAGTGTAACCGTTCTATAATGTGAGAAGAGACAACATTTTAACTTCTCTGCGCTACAATTTATTTTGCCATGATGACGTTGTTATTTACTTATCCAACAACATTTCAACATATTTTCTTTATAAGGTTTCCAGTTTAAAGAAAAATTACACTGGAAACATCTTTATGAAATCATTCCTTAAAAAGTGGTCTGCATGCATTGATTAACTAACGGCTTACTGAAAGAGGCAAAGAATACACAGCGGATTGCAGCCAATCAGAACTTATCTTTCATCAATTTTGTTTTAGTCATTTGAAATGTTATTGGTTTCCATTGTACTATAATGTCTTCTTTAGAAGTAGATCTAAACCCTGACCTGGTGACATTTAGTTAGCTAAGGAACTGTGTATCATAAACAATTGCATTTTATTTATATATAAAATACTGTTTTTGCCTTTTTTTTCATCTGAGTGCTGCTAAGCTGCTTCATGCCTACCTGCACTGGCTGCCATCATTGTTCTGGACCAGCTTCATTAAGGTGGACCATGTCCATTGGCACAACCTTTTGTAGCCTGAACCAGGGCCGCCGGTGACAGGGTGACAATGCAGGAGCACAAATGGGAGACAGTAGCCACTTCATAACAGGAAGTGCCTAATTAAAGACCTCCATGAAAGGATCACTCAATATTTAAAAAGACTAAAAACAAACTTTTAAAATGAGAGCTTACAGTATATGAAATATAATGGTTGGGTTTAGATCTACTGTTATCACACATTTTCTGTTGCTGTGTACACTATGCCTGTTTCTGATTTATCCAGCACAAGGTATTTCATTTTAAATCACCCAATTTGACAATAACATAAATGATATTATAAATAACTACATTGTTATAATGCCATTGCAATATGGCCCAGCTACTGTGTAAAGACAGACATAAACGCTCACCTTAGCTGTGACATGGGGTGAAGCACCCTTTTCCAGTAACAACATCGCCACCTTCTGGTTGTCATAGTGAGCAGCAACATGGAGTGGGGTGAGCCCATTCTGCAAAGGGCGTGTTTGTTATGGGGGTTAAAAAAGTTAGTTACTTAAGCACTACAGAAGCTATACACATTTTCACTGTAATTATACAAAATGTCCTTTATTTTAATTGGGTAAGACTAACAGATACATGAATGGAGCATGGTGTGTGTTAGAGTGAATAAAACATTGTAAATAGTGTAAACATTGTATTTAAAAACAATTATGTTGAATATTATAAGTAGGAATGTTCACATACATATAAAATGATATGCAATGTAATATGAAATCACAGGAATGTACCTTTCCAGCAGAATCTGGTGGGGCACGACGCTGGAGGAGTAATTTTGCCACATCCAGGCTTCCATATTTAGCAGCCACATGTAGAGGTGTAAATCCCTTCTGAAAAAGTCCAATGACACACAGGATTATTATTATCATACAGGATTTATATAGTGCCAACAGTTTGCGCAGCACTTTACAATATAAGGAAGACATTACAATTACAATACAATTCAAGACAAGATGGTAAGATGCCTCTGAGGGCTTACAATCTGAAAATTGTCTCAGATACCAGCTGAATGGCTTCTCTATCTTGTGGTATTTATTGCAGCACAATTAGCTATACATTGCTCTTTAATATTTGTGTTACCGTGTGGTATGACACTAACATCCTGATGGCAGGTTACTATACCAGACAGTGTACAACTGGAAAGGAGAATAACCTATGTGCCAGTTGTTACAACCGGAGCTCTTTAAATAAAAGCGCTATAGGTTTTGAACAAGCTAACAGGTTTCCTTTGTTTAAAGGGTATCTATTATCAAAAACTAAAAATAAATAGGTATTTCTATATTGAATTTCCATAAGTTGTATCCCACTCATAATAACCATATCCAACTAGAAGTTTGTAAATGTATTTATTGAAGATGTCCAGAGGATACACTTCCTCAATCTACTGACACAATTTCACTTAGTCCTATGAATATGCACTTCCCTGTGTCACCACTCACAGATCCTGCCCTCTGAAGTACAACTCAACCTCTGAGAAATGTAACATTATCATTGCTTGCTGGACGCAGTGCATGATGAGATATGTAGTCTTGAGAACTCAAACTTGCATCACACAAAGCAGTAAGGAAATAGATGCAAAGCACACTGGGAATCCAGGAAGTTGTTGAAAGTAATGGGCAGACAGAAGGCACTCATTACATAAAAGGGATTTTTTTCAAGTAAGCTTCGATTGGATTATCAAAAACAACTACAGTATGTATTTCTATTCAGTGGCGGACCTAATAACCAAAGATCCCTGGTGCAAGATTTTATCTAGGGCCCCCCTCCCTAGATTGCGGGGGGGCACGGGAGCGGATCACACTGGAGCCCCACTCACAAAGTCGGATAGAAGTGACATTTCAGGACCGATCAGCTGTTCCAGGGCAGATCGGTTCTCCTGCACATGCGATTTGCGATGCCGATCTGCCCTGGAACAGCTGATCTGTCCTGAAATGTCACTTCTATCTGACTTTGTGAGTGCGCTGGAATGTGAGATCGCAGTTGGTGAGAAGTGACATTTCAGGACCGATCAGCTGTTTCAGGGCAGATCGGTTCTCCTGCACATACAATTTGCGATGCCGATCTGCCCTGGAACAGGGAAGAAAGCGTTGGAATGCTTCACCTATTCCACCACCAAAAAACTGGGCGAGATTACGTTAAAATGTGTGACCACGTCACCGGTCACACATTCTAACGTATTCTCAAACTTTGATAGAACAGAGGCCTGTCTTTAATCATGTAATCAGAGAAATAGATTATAATAGGGACCATTACAGTGTAACGTTCCCCATTATAATCCACTTTCCTAATTACATGAAGTAACAGCACACAACTATAAAAAAAAAACACACCAATTAATGCAGTTATGCTTTTGTAAATTGTATTTTAGATGCAACTAGTATAAGTACCTAATTCAGACTTGGTATCAATCTTTTTGAAGACTGATGTACAGCAACTCCTTTAAATGTAAAACAAACTGTATTTATGTGAAATATATTATAGATGATCTGCTGTTTCTCCCTTTTACAATGACATTAGTTCACGTCCCTCCCCTGGTTAGATGTCTACTGATGACCGCAGCCGTGACCCCAGAATCAGAAGCTGAAGCCTAATGTACATGTATCTATGTCACTCATGATGTAAGGACATTAATTATAACCTCTTTTAGAGCAAGGTATGATCTGAATGGTCAGGCCCCCTTCATAAATTGAAGCACAACATGATCATGCTGTACAAATAATATTTAAAATAATACTACAGGTTGCATAATTGGATGCTGTTGCATTGCAGTGCAAAGCATTAGACTGTGCTCTACTGCCCTCTAGCAGAAAACATTATAATTGCAAAAGATATTTAAAAAAAGACTAAAAATACATCTGCAGCAGAAGACATATATACAGTAGGCACTTGCACAAAAAGGCACAATGCACATGCTTAAATTAGTTTGCTTTATATACTACTGCACAATAAAACATCACAATCCTTTTCTCTTTACATGTGTATAAGTATCAATATGGTCATGCAGGAAAAGTGAAGTGGTTACCTTAGTAGGCATGGAGTGTGCGGCCCCGGCCTCCAGCAAGACTGAAGCAACATCTAGCTGCCCCTCTCTGGCAGAGATATGAAGAGGGGTGTAGCCATTAGTAGTAGCAGCATCCGGGTGAGCCATATGTTGGAGTAACAGCTGAACAATTTCTGTTTTGCCCAAACGAGAGGCAATGTGTAGAGGTGTCTGCTCTTCCTAAGGCAGAGGTAGGAACAGAACATAAGGTAAGCCAATTGCCCTTGAAAGGATAATGCATGTTATATGAAGACAGGGATTACAAAAACAAGAACCTTGGATGTTTTATTCTCAAACACTATAATCAAGCCGAATTCAGCCGCCCATCAAAACCACCAAGACAAAGGTGTGTATATTTGTCTACTACATGATATTTCTACTACATTCTCTGAAAGAATTCTTCCAGTGAAGTCAGAGCTCCAAGAAAAATAAACTGAACCCTGAATAGTTGTGTCAATAGACATTCACCCTCTGAACATTGTAGTGTTAACAACACTGTGTGTACAGTAATCATAATGTAAGGGATAAACATGTAACTGGGCATGTTTAATAAGGAGGGGATAATGCAAATGTTGCCCACATCTTTGCACTACTTTATTAAACCTGAAAGGGATACACTCTGAATCATATTGACATCATTAAAAAATGAAGTTCATAACTGTAAGTCTTCTTCATGGACATTGTGGAATGGATCCTCCTGTTGTGATCTATATAGTACACAATGTAAAGTGATCAGAACAAGATTGGGACATATTGCTAAAGCAGTGAATGTGGCATTCACCAAATATTCACTGCATGTGTAACTTCCTGTTTTTTCACCTGCAGTGAATATTTGGTGAATGTCACATTTACAGCTATATGTGCTACATATACAGTATATATAGATATATATATATATATTACAAATGGGGGTCAATATGTTAAGTTGCATTAGTTATTTTAAAGTATTTGAAAGCAAGTTTTACACTCAATTCACATGCTTTAATATTATAAAGGTGTAGAAGTGTATTTGTTATAAGACAACTGATGGAATTGTCATTTTGCCTTGTGAAATATTTTACTTCTAGCTGAAATTAACTGTTTTATGACAGAAGAAATTACTGGTGTACAAATGAAAACAGTTGTAAAATGTAGTCATGCATGCACATAACCTGGTAGCTAAAGGAGAAATATGTTGAATAAAACATAAAAAGCTATTAGTATTGTATAAGCAATTAGGCATAAGCAGTGGGGTTACAGGTAACAGGGGTACCCGTCATGGCCAGGCTTGTAGCATAAATTATGAAGGAAGGTTGCTGCATGGCCATTTACAATTAAGCACAGACACTTACAATGATTCCAACTGTAGGCTTTTCCAGAACAGAATGGATAAACAATTTAATATTTAATATTTTCTATGCACAAAATGTATATGTGTATAAGGATAAGGACAGATGGGTAGACAGACATAGACAGACAGACAGACAAACAGATAGATAGATAGATAGATAGATAGATAGATAGATAGATAGATAGATAGATAGATAGATACTAAAGAGATCATGTTCACTTTGTATGTTCGGTTAGCTTAGTGATTGAAGTAACGCTGTGTTAACTTCAATCATTCTAAAATTTCCCTTAGAAATATTAAAATGAACACAGTTTTACTATATTTCCAAAATTAATTAAACATACACGTTGCCAAGTGCAAAGCATCTACTCATTTAGTAAATCAAGCCCCTTAACGGTTGGGAAAGTAAAATGAAAACACTACATGTCCAGAAATTATTGGCATGTTCATGTATAGTGTTCAATATATGGAATAAGCACACCTGCAAAGAATGCTTTTGCAATAAAGTTGTATTCAGCTGTTGTATTCAGTTGTATTCAGCATATGAGCACTGGAGTACAATAAACACAAATATCCAAGTGTGCCATATCCCATCAGGCATAATCCAGCAAGGCAGGATGTTCTTGAGAGAGGGAGTTTCTTCACCCTTGAAATGTTGGATTCTTCCCCCTCCTCTCTCTTTTTACCAGGGTTTGCCATTGCTCTCTCTCTCTCATCATTCTATATTAGATACTAACTTGTATACTAACTTTATGAACATCAGCTACTATATGACTTAGTGCAGCTAATTTTACCTATGTACATGCATATACTGTACATATAAAAGCATAGAAATATGAAGCATATAAAATCATTTTGCTGTATTATGGCTGATGTGATTTGAGTTATGGTACTTGGATATTTGTACATATTGTTCTATATTGCTTATACACTGAATACAATTTCATTGCAAAAGCATTCTATGTTGTGATATTTACTCTATCTATTTACAATTATAGTACAAACAGGTTCATGCACTGGGGAGGGATTAACGCACCCTAATAATCTCTCATTCCTAGTTGCCAAATAGTGCATGTAACAGTGGTGTGCAGACCTTTATTGATAGTTATATGCTTATGTATAGCTTTCCTGTTATTGAAACTTTTTATTCCCTGAAGCTTATAATGTTTCCCCCGTCCTCAGGTTCCGATCTTCTAAACCAGCAAATGCTCCAATGTTGCAGACAACACAGTAAATTAACTTACCCTGGCTCTGGCATCCACCAGGGCACCATTTCTGAGAAGGCAGCGGACTACTTCAACCTGCCCAGCGCGAGCAGCCATGTGCAGAGCAGTCTCCCCGCGCTGTAAATAATACAGATTGAGATTGTTTACTATAACTGAAAAAAAAAAGATTCATTTTTTTACTGAAATTTGTTTTGAACTATCTTGTAGGAGAAAGTCCAGTAAATAAAAACAGACATTTCATGTCTAATTACTGAAAACAAAATATTAACATAACAAGAAATGTAAAGATCACAAATTTGTATAGATTTAGCATAACATATTTTTTTAAATGATTCCCATACCAAAAATGTTGCAGTATTGAAATAATAACTAACATCATGGTAAACAATGCAGCAATACTTTTACAGCAACTTGGCCCTTTCCCAAGGCCGCTACTGTTTGGTAAAATCTTCTATATTTACTGGTGTTGACCAGAGGAATGACAGGACACCTAGAAATGCTATTCAAAGGGACAAAGGCTGCAGCATCAACATGCACCTGTCCTGCAGCATTAACATGTTTCAATGCTGGACCTTGTATTTATTTTTATGCATCCTGATGCAAAGAAAACACTTAATTGAGAATCCATCTGTACTGGGTAATTTGCATTAATATAAACATGGTGCACCTCCAAATCCTCAAGTCAGACATCATTTGTCTATGAGTAACAAAGCAACAGGTTTACTTTGATGTGGACCCCAAAAGCAGCTCCTTCCCTTCACTCCCTCACCACTCCATTTTACCACAGGCACAGCAATACCTGGTAATTCCAGGTACGGAGAAACATAAGAGACACTGCCCTTCCTCCTATCACTAGTAATAGTCTATTGGCTGCTCAAACACTCAGCACTGTTATATGAGGGCAGGGAGAGCATCCTCAGCCCAGTGTAAACTGTGATTTGAAACTTGCCCAGGGTTTCTTCTTTTCCTTTCCAGCAGTGAAATTGACCGGTGGGGAGTGAAGCACATGCAGCTAATTGGGCTGCCATAAAAAATGAAACATGTTGTTTTGCTCTGCATGCTCATTGCTGGCTGTAAAACGTACTCTCTGACTCTCTTACTTTGATTCACTGACCTGGAACAAGTAAGCAGATAAGGACTTCTGGCTTATCCCTGAGTTTCCTGATTTGCATACTTTTTCCAGACCAGACTCAGAAAGTATTAAAGCCAGTAGGTCACTATAACAGCCAGGAAACTGGCATTTCATTACAAGGACACCAATAGCAGTCCCCAAGTTTGTCTCATGACAGGTCTTGTCATTAGAAAGTTCTAGAAGGTATTGCCAGAGCTTAAAATATTTTAATGCTCAACTAGTGATATATCATCTAGTATTTTGGTGTCTAACTAATATGCCCAGTCAAACTTGGCACATTTTCGCATTGGAATTTAGTTATGACTCCATATGCAAATCTAGGTCATTACAGAATTTCAGTAGTAAGTTTGATAGAGTGAAGACAGTGTCAGATGTATGGCTGAGAGCCCAGTTACATTTTTATTTGTCATGAAAATTATCAAGGAAGGACAATTATCATTGTCAAGGAATAGCCAACACATTTAATTAGTATTAAGGTCTGGGCGTTTACCTTAATGCATTCTCTGCATTAGGGTAAAAATGCCCAGTACCTTTTTCTCCCCCCATCCCTCCCAGTCCTCTCCACACTTACCTGTCAGCAAAACTCGTCCCCGCCGCAGGTCCCAAACCGATCCTCCATTTCCCAAACTGATCCTGGTTGAGGGGTACTTATGGCAGATCAGCCATAGGCTCCTTTTGGCATCAATCAAACAGTTGGGCAGAGTGGAGGGGTGTGGCTTGCCACAGGGCTGTGTGTGTCTATGGACGCACACGGCCAGGGCAGGCACGATCAGGGACCCACTTGAAAACGAGGAAAAGAAAACCGGCAACAGTCTTAGACAAAGGTGGGCCTCCTTGTAGCAAATAATTTTTTAAAAGGAAGCTTTAATATCACTTTAACCAATCCCCCTTCATCAGGCTTGTGCAGGTGAAGTCTATAAGAAAACTGGACTGACGGTGGGTATCCAGAAGCTAATTTTTCTAGCATGGATTTAAGGCCTGCTTTAGCAGCAAAATCTTTCCTGCCCAACTAGTAAAATATCCTTTAGTATCTTTGTGTATAACTAATATACTAAGTCAAACTTGACATATTTGCTTACTATTACAGTATAAAATGCTGAATCTATCCTTGATTTCATAAGCATTTCTAGGTCATTACAAAATTTCAAACATGGTCTTACAATTTTTAACTGAAATATTCAGTATATACAGTTGTTTACCATGATTGTTTGATGTTGGTGCAAAAATGTACTTTCATTTACTTAGTTGTAATTGAAGATGGCATGCATACAATTTAGTTGGACACCAAACAATATTACAAGGTCCAGAAGGCTAGCAAGACACATTAAACCAACGAGAGGTTTAATTATCATCACAGAATATTTGCTATCTAAAAAAAATATAATTTAATTCTGCTTAATGATATGACGTTTCACAGATTGTGAAACCTTGTCACATGGAGATAGATGGAAATAGATGTACCCAGGATAAGCTAGCATTCGGAGTGCTTCCATCTGGCATAAAAACACTCCAGCACACCCCTTAGACCTCTTCACTGTGATTGTAGATCAGCTCTGTATTATTATGTCTGGGGGACAAGAAAATGTGGCTGCACAAGCAACTTGGAGCTTTCATTTAACCATTGGAGCTACTAAAGATTAGAGTCACTCTGTCAAGGCCAGTGACTTTTGCAACATCAGACTGAACTTAATCTGCAAGCATTCTGAATTCTGCACTGTACCAAAGATCATCTAGATTCCACCTAGGTATATTTCATTTTTAAAACTTTTTATTGTTTTGTTGCTTATGTCTGTTTTGTAATATCTGTTCTGTAAATATTTCTTGCTCTGTTTTTCTTCTCTTCTCATCAAAATGCTATTAACAATCATTAAGCAGAATCTCTAACTAGAAATGTAAGAACTGTGTCCCTCTGAAGAAGCTACCCTAGTGTAAAATCTGTTACATTCTTGTTTGTGCATGGCTGCATGTGATACCGGCATTTTTTAAAGATCAGAATCACAACAGTGGATGCTGTGAATGTTTTCCATTAAAGTATGTGGTAGCAGCTACCGTGTGTGTATGTGTGTGTGTAAAGGGCAACTGCTCAGTTGACAAGCATCAGAGAAAAGTCACTCTCAGGCTGATGGTGCTTAGATTGTTGTACTGTAAGCTGGAAAATCTCTGTGCAGGCCAAGGCTGAGCGTGCGTGAATCACACCAATCACAACTGACAATATGAAAATCTGAGAAAATGAGTGATCACAGTATGGTGATGCTCAGCAACTGTCCCATTGCATTTCCCAGTAAATCAAAAAAAGTTAATTTAATTGCTTGCAGACAGATCTGATTCAGGTACTTTGATTATGTAAATTAGAGACTAAATTGAGTCTAGCTAAATCATCTCACAAACAAATCACTGAATCCTCTCATACATAGGAAAGGTTCGACAAAAACATAAGCTGCAGTGGGTCAGAGAATGATGCAAATAATGAACAGATACTTGGAAGAGAGTTGCATAACATGCTGGCACCAGGACAGTATTTGTAGGAATACAATTATACATACACAACAATTATACATACATACACTTTAAGGTGTTTCTTAATTATTCAGAGTAGAATATATTAGTAGATGAACATTGTGACAGTAGAATATACTGTTATATAATATAGTTATATAATATAGATTGTGAATAAAAATGTGCAACAAAAAAACAATCAGGGCAGGATAGTAAAAAGAACTTAAGCAGTCACTTCAATGAAAACCAGTCATGGTCAACATTGTAAAAATATGGGAAATGAATAACAGAAAGATAACAGGCATTCGTAATAGGAACAAATCAATATGGCCAGCAGCGTGACATTTGAAAATGCTGGACATATTCTGTTATTTAACGTATGCCTCTTACTGGTAATCATTGATCCTTGCACTTCTTGATGGGGTTATATTGACTATTTGACCAAAATGTATATTGACTCTTCATCTGCAAATTCCATTGAATAGTCTGGCATACACAGTGATAGATATAAACTCCCAGAAGTCAGGAATTATGCCCAACTAACCATGTTGGAATATAGAAGACATAAAGCCACGGGCTAGCTCAACCCACCAGGATTCACCTATAATTAAATAATACTTTGGGTGAACTGACCCATTAAGTATTCATAGCTCACATTAACTGGCCTTTTTAGTTAGACACAGTTTTAATGGATTACAGAAAGCAGACAGAAATGTAATATGTCATTTACATATATAAAAAAAAAAATATGGACACAAACATATTTAATGAGTAACACTGAAATGTGCATCACAGTTTTGTATAATGTTAAACAAATCAAGTCAGTAACATAAACTGGCCAACATAAAAAGCAAGGTTTTGCCTATTCTAAGTAATATAAACTGTAAGTAATCTCTCTCAACTGCTGTAATCGCTATGCATATTTATATGGATTTAAGAGCAAAAAAGGTGAACAGATTGGAGCAGCACTGCTGCCTTAACTACCCGGGGTTCCTGGTATACAGTCTTAACAGGAATGGCAGGGAATGCATTGGGTTAAGGGTTAACTGGATTCTGCCTTGAAGCCCAACTGAAATGTTCAATTTAAATCAGCTAAATATCTAAATATGTTCCAGGTGCAATAAAGACTTACAGCTTTCTCAGAAAAGGCTGGCCCCTGCCAGCATACTGCAGTGTGGGACCCTTGCTCTGTGTGTGAAAGCAGTGTTCTCTCTGCAGAGGTCTGACACAGCCCCTACTGAGTCAGAGCTAGAGTTCTCCAATCTGCGGGGACATCGAAGTTTGCTAATTTAAGAGCTATAGGTCTGAATCTACAGGGAGTGTGTCAGACCTCTACATAGAGACCGCTATTTTTACACAGAGAGCAAGGATCCTTCTCTGCAGCATTGTGGCAGGAAACAAGATTTTCTACTTTGGCAGAGGCTACCTTTTACGGAAAACTAAACGGAAAACTGTGTAACCTTTTGTTTTGATGCAATGTATTTAGCCGATTTAAAGTGGGAGTTCAATTGGGCTTTACCTGCCCCTAAAGTCGTCATGTATGCTACTATTGTAGGGAGATTAGAGTGTACACTTCACAGTGTAAGAAGTACTACCTATGGTGCTGTGGATAATGCTGACATTATATTAATAAAATACAGCGACTGACAAGCACATCAACAGGTTAGGCAGGTTCCTCACAAAGAATAACACCTGGTGAAATTAAACATTTGTCAAGTAAGCTGTAAAATGAAAATTAACTCTAGTTATTTAGTTTACTGTAAGACATACTCACAATGTTAGTGACATCTGGAGAAGCTCCATTCTGCAGCAGAAGGAGGACTATGTTCAAGTGGCCCATGAATGCAGCCACATGTATTGGAGTGAGACCAGACTGTGGAACAAACCAACAGGCATTTTACTCCCCTGCACAACACCGAGGTGGGCTTCCACATTTACAAATCAACAGGTGTATAAGAGGAGAGAGAGAAATGACAGTGGATATTACAAGTAAAAAAGAGACAGAGACAGGACAGGGAAAGCAGGAAATGCGGTGGAAGGTTTGTGATCTAAGAAAACCTGTTCTACCTCTGTTATAGCTTGGATTGAAGCCCCATATTTCACTAGCAGTTCCATAACTTTGATACGGTTTTTCTTGCAGGCAATGTGCAATGGAGTAAAACCATTCTGTTCAGAGAAACAACTTGTTAGGAAAACTCATGCACACTACACACCCAGAAAACCATGCAGATCTCAGGAGAAGCAAAATTGAAATGTAGAATGTGGGTGAAAATCACAGTTGTGCTCTGCAGCCAATGCAACTTGATGGCACTCAAGTACAAAAAATGATGTTTACTGTAAGCAATATAAAGAGTTGTCTTCAGTATATCTTGTTTGTATTTTCTCAAGACCACCATAGAGGATTAGAGGATGATTTAGATGTTCAGTATCGCACACTTTGGCAGACACCTCCAGCAGACCTTTCTCAAGAGAAAATGCTACCAATGGGGTTTGAACTTTTAGCCAGTAATAAATTGTCTGCAGAGGATACGGACAGCACTGGGGTGTCTCCAGTGCTCCAAGATGCACATATACATGTAGCACGCCTATTGGCCTTAACTAGATTGTACCTAAACATCTCACCATCATCTTAAATCTGTATATATATAGTACGTAGATCACTTTACCAGAGCACGAGCATTAGGATTTGCTCTTTTGTCAAGGAGAAGCTTGGTGACACGGTAATGTCCACAATGTGCTGCAACATGCAGAGATGTGAGATAATCCAGGGTGACATCATCCACAGGTGCCTTGTGCTGTAATAGGTGTTTGACACAATCCACATGATCTCCTTGAGCAGCCATGTGTAGAGGAGAAAGTCCATTCTGTATTAGATCAAGAAACAAACTGTATTAGACATACAATCAACAGCAGCAACAAGTTCAATGGTCGGTGCAACATAAACCAGAATAATGTTTTAGCTATGATCCCTGGAGCCAATTAAAAAAAATATGGAACAAAAAAACATATTTTGGTGCTGCATATAGGAAAACATTTTAAAAAAATCAATGAAAGTATCTGACTAATTCATACTGGCAACACATGTGCTTTCTTTATTATTTGTTATATTCTATCTCTCTACATTGTACAACAGTGAAGACTAAAGCTGGCCGGACAATGCTGGCTAAATGAATTTTTTTTTTATAGATTTCTCTATGCACACTGAACAGCGCAGATGGACAAATATTCTGCTGCCCTTGCTGTATTCTGACATTCACCATGTTCAGAATACAATGACGGGTACTGAAGCTAACTGGATTAAATGTTTATCCGAGAATTTTCAGACTGGTCCCTTCAAGAAAAGTCGATTAAAAAATTGACATTAGTTGAACAGAGGGGTGCTGACGGAGCCAAGTGCTGCTAGAACTTTGTCCAAGTCCTGCTGACATTCGACCAATGTATGGGCGGCTTAGGCAGAGATTAAACCCTGAAAAAAGGGGGGGTTAACTCGTCACAAGATGACGGGTTAGTAGTGGTCAATTTCAGGATCCGGACAAGTCAGTTGGTTACATGAAAAATTAATTTTATTGAAAAAAGACATGCAAGATAACACATTTGACTAACAATACCTACATAAAACCTCTTAAAAATACAGACACTAGTAAATTAAATGTGGATCGATCCTCATTCACTTCTATCATTAATTTCACCCCCCCCCCCCTTTTTTCTGCACAAATACGGTCAGGGATCGGACTACACAAGCAGTTGCGCAAACATAAGGAGGGGGATTAGAATTCATCGGATCTCCAGGTAGGAACAAAACCCAATTTGAAAGAAATTAAACCCTGCTCCACTACCCCCAAATCAAAGAAATCTATTTTGAGTGGAACTGCACTTTAAAACAGTAAACTACAGAATTTGCTATTATAAAATGAATATGACAAATTTAGTCTAAAATCTAAAACTGGAATAGAGGGGAATTCTTCCAATGAGGACACTTGTTCCAGTGACAGCGGTCAGAGAGGGCAGATTTCTTCTCACTTCCAATATTATCTACAAGACTGTAATTTACAGGAAAGTACTGGTGAGAGCTAATAACATTGTTTGAGAGTCCACTCGATGTCACACTTGATTTCTGCTTGATCAATGGGTGTTCTTTTGTAGTTGTAGAAAATATACTTGGCCTAAAAAAAAGAAAACTAATGCAAGCACTACTAAGGACTGGTTAGCTCTAATATACATATACATGTATTAACTAATATTACATTTTTGATTTTGGGTTTAGTTGCCACAGTTACATTCCAAGACACTGAATCTGTCACTATATAACTCATTCTTGTTTTATGGCTGTGATAACTAACAACACAGAGACGCAACAAGACTGATACACTAAAACCTTCTATATTTGGAAGAACACAAAATATTGCCAACATCCTTTACCGTCTACCTTCATATTATGTTTGCAACTTCAGTATCTCTGCACTCTAAAGGCATTTATACATTTGAATAGTCTAACACAGGGAACATCAAAACCACATGCCTTGGTCCTTGCGAGAAGTGGTGCTCCTCTTTCTAGAAGTAACTCCACAGCTGGGTCATGTCCACTCCGCGCTGCACAGTGCAATGGAGTGAGTCCATCCTGAAACAGAATTACATGCCAGGATCTTGTGAGTTTATGGTTTTAAATGTCTATTATATGAACAAGAAACACTCTTAACATACAGATATCATACATTTCATGATTGCCTATGTACTTAAAGTGACACTAATATACTCGAGTATAAGTCGAGATTTTCAGCCCATTTTTTTGGGTGAAAAGTGCCCCCCTCGGCTTATACTCGAAATTGTAATTATACTGTATTACTGTATAATTACAGTACAGTACAGTATAATACTGTACTGTATTATACTGTATTAAATGATCTGTATGTAGCCCTGTACTATGGATCATTTAACCCATTCATGTTAGCAGAGGATCATTGTAAATGTATTGTTGCAGGCACTCTATATGTACATGTACTATATACTACATATAGAGTGCACTGAACAATAGATTTACAATTATCCTCTGCTAATATGAATGGGTTAAATGATCCGTAGTACATGATATGTAGCCCTGCACCCCCTTTTCCACTTACAGAGCTAGGTTATTTTTCTTTTAAATAAATATTAATGTAATTTTATTGGTATCTATCTACCAGTAGCTGCCTCATTTCCCACCCTCGGCTTATATTCGGGTCAATACTTTTTCCCAGTTTTTTTGGGTAAAAGTAGGTACCTCGGCTTATACTCGGGACGGCTTATACTCGAGTATATACGGTACTTTACAACACACACAGGGACCCTGGGGAAGAAAAGTAGCCACCCTCCAGAAGGAAGGACTGTGTCAGTATGAATTCAGAGATGATTTGAAGATCCACAGCTGAGAAGATACATTTATGTTTTTAGTTAAGATACTTGAATGCATTTTTAAGGTTTAACTGAGTTTAGTGTCACATTAAAAAAAGGAATAATTAAGAAAAATGTATGCTAGATAACTATGATTTTTATCACAAAGATTAAACTATATGTGAAGCCAAAACATTTTTCTGAGTTCTGAATAGAGTTAAGGAGGGTTAGAACCCCTGTCAGGCTTTATTCTACTATCCAGGACTCCATTACAGTGATGTCCTCTTACTTACTGCTCTGTATACAGCGGTGTTACCAAACAGGTGGGGGAAGTATCCAACAACACATATTTGTGGTACATTTTATTGCTAACTATTGTGCTTTGAAGTAAGGCAGTCCATTAATGTTTAATGGGCTGCCAATGCACAATATGAGACCTAAATATGTATCTGAACTTTTTTTCCAGCGCACCCATGGTTTTTTGCTGTGCGGTGTGGTAAACTAAAAAGAAAGTCCGTTGTGGTGAGCTGGGGATGAGCATTAGGGCTCCGCACCACGGTCTACACATTACCAACCATGTGTTCCAATAGCATGCAGTAACATGTGCAAGTTACAATGCAAATATGTAAATCTGACCTAAATCATCACCAATGCAGTTAATTTTTACCACTGTGTCAAAGGTATATTCTGACTAACTGGAAGCCAAATCTCCACAGATTCTATCAATTTATGGCATTACTTCTGGAGGACCCAGAATGCAACTTCAGTATGATGAACTGGAGCATTCCTCCCACAAGGCAAATCATATCTGAGCCAGTCCACAGCTTCAGATGGGGGCCATATTCATACCTCCCACATTTCTGAGATGAGAAAAAGGGACACCTTTATATTAGAAAGTATTTACACAAAATGTATACCACTGACATACTCCCAGTTATGTGGACCACAAAGAATTATTATCCAAAAAAAATGATTGGGTAAACCGACAACCGACTATATTTCCTTAAACTGGCTTTTCAAAATAACACATTCTAAAAAGTTTAAAGTGGGCCTTTTGCCAATTTGCAGCATTCTACCCCCCCCCCCCCCCCCACCAACTCCAAAAGGC